TTCTGATGTCTTTTTTTTTTTTTTTTTTTTTTTTTTTTTGCTATAGGGCGAGTACACTCACTAGAGAAAGAAAGAGAGAGAGGAAAAGTGAGAAATCACCCCCTAGTGCAGATGGCCACACTTCAGTCCCTTCTCCTCTATTCTCCTTTTGGGATTTTTGGCACACACATACATGCACCGGCATGTTTCTCAGGCTGCCAGGTTCAGAACTCCAATATCAGAGTAAGCCATGTGGGATCTAGCACCCCAACCACCAGCCACCTGGTGGCTCCTGATGACTTTTTTTAAGTTTACTTACTTATTTATTTATTTATTTATTTTTTGGAGAGGTTTTCTTTGCTATAGGGCGCGTGCACTCGCCAGACAGACAGAGACATAGAGACAGAAAGCGAGAAATCACCCCCCCCAGGGGGGATGGTCACGCCGCAATCCCTTCTCCTCCATTCTCCTCTCGGGATCTTGGGCATGCACGCACACGTGCCCGGCGTGAGATTTAAGCCACCGGGTCCGGGACGCGAACCACGGTTGATTACGTGGGAATCCAGCGACATAGCCATTACGCTAACTGCTGGTTCCCAAGTTTACTTATTTATCTCTGCCGTAAACAAGAGACAAAGAGAGGCAGAGAGATAGCATTTCCAACAGTGTCCTGACACCACAATCTAACCCCATCATCAGCCAGCTTGGGATTATGCACATGCATGTGGTCAGCACACTCAGGAAGGTCTCCAGATTCAAACCCAAACCTTCCCATATGGCCAGCCTCCAGGGCACTGCGTTTTACTACTGCACCATCTGGTCCCTTCTTCTCATGACTTCATTTTCTCAGAGAAGCAAGGACCCACCATCTCATGACATCCCAAATCACTGCTAATCTCAATTGTTTTCTCCCACCCTCCATGTCTTCCAAGGTATACCAGTTTTTCAGCTGCCTCCCAGAAGACAAGGTCCCTTACGTCAACAGTCCCGGGGAGAAATACAGGATCAAGCAGTTGCTGCACCAGCTGCCCCCACATGACAGTGAGGTGAGGAGAGATGCCAGGTATGGGGCACAGCTTGGGCAAATGCAGGGTAGCTGGAGAGAAATGGGGTGGGTCAAAGGAAGAACAGCAATCTGGTCTGCTGTGAGAGGTCTGGAAAGGCAGGAGCCATCAAGGGACATTCCTTGGCCAAACCACAGCAGAGCCTTGAAATAAGGGGTAAGCGGTGGATGTTTCAGGCAGGAGGCACCATCTATACAAAGGCCTACAAGTAAACTTTTTGAGCATGTATGAAGTCTGGAAGAGGGGCGGGGCAGGCAACAAGCGAGGAGCCTGGAAGACCCCTACCACCCCCAGGCACAGTACTGCACAGCACTGGGAGAGGAGGAGAAGAAAGAGCTCAGAGCCTTCAGCCAGCAGCGGAAGCGGGAGAATCTGGGACGTGGTACCGTGCGCATCTTCCCAGTGACCATCACTGGGGCCATCTGTGAGGAGGTGAGCCATGGAGGGCCTCAGTATGTAAGCAGTGCCTTTGTTCCAAGCCCTGGGGTACAGGGCCCATTTCCCAGGCTCTGGAAGATGAGGCCTCCCTTTTAAGCCCTGGTGGGCTGTCTCTAGGGTCTTCACATGTCACTGTCCAGCAGGGAACGTCTATCTCTGAGTTCTCCTGATGGACAGAGCATGTCTCTAGAACCCCCTGGTGGGGGAAACCTGTCCCTCACATCCCACTGTTGGCTGTGGTTTGTCTCTAAGGAAATCCTGGGGTAACTTCTTTGTGGTTTGCTCCCCTCCACGCAATAAATAGACATGGGGCCTGGGCTGTTTCTCTGGCTCTCTTGTAGCCAGGACTTATCTAAGAACTGACCCACAGTAACGAGGCCTGTCTCCAGAGCCTAGTGGTAGGTGAATTTGTCTCCAAGACCCTCCATGGTAGGTGGATCTGCCTTTAAATCGTACTGTTAGGTGAGGTCTGTTGCTAAGGCCCCAGTGGGTGGAGACTATCTCTATGGTTCCTGCATTGGGCCTGGTCTGTCTCAGTGGTTTCCCCATTAGCATAGTGAGTCTCTTAAGGTGCACCCCCCAACATATCCACCTACTCCTTGTATAAGTGGAGCCTGTCTCAAAGTTTTCCTGTAGGGGCCAGCCAATAGCATGATGGTTAAAGCATATGGATCCTGCATGGCCAACTATGCAGTTCAAGTCCCAGACCCAGTGGCTTAAAAAACACACCAGGTACTTGTGTGTCTGTGGCCAAAATCCCAAGATGAGAATGGAAGATAAGGGATTGCATCATGGTCAAACCCCTAGGGTGTGCTCCCTCATTTTCTCTGTCTCTGTTTCTCTCTGACAAGCACATATGGCTTATAATAAAGTTTTAAAAAAGAAAAGAAAAGAAAAAATAGGCCAGTCGCAAAGGTTTACCATGGAGAAGACCCAGGTGGGAAACACCTTGCTAATCCCATCCATTTGACCATCCTGGTGATGGTGAGAGTGTCTGTCATTTGGCAGTGTGGGAAGCAGATTGGAGGCGGGGACATCGCAGTGTTTGCCAGCCGTGCAGGCCTGGGTGCCTGCTGGCACCCACAGTGCTTCGTGTGCACCACATGCCGGGAGCTGCTTGTCGACCTCATCTACTTCTATCATGCTGGCAAGGTCTACTGTGGACGCCACCATGCCGAACGCCTGCGTCCACGCTGCCAAGCATGTGACGAGGTTTGTGCTTCCCTGTCCAGGGTGGGAGTGGAGGGCAGGCAGGGCCCAGGGCAGGCCCTCTGACAGCCACAGGTGACCTACGCCTTCCAGATCATCTTCTCCCCTGAATGCACGGAGGCTGAGGGCCGGCATTGGCACATGGGCCACTTCTGCTGCTTCGAATGTGAAGCTTCGCTAGGAGGACAGCGCTATGTCATGCGTCAGAGCCGCCCCCACTGCTGCGCCTGCTACGAGGCCCGCCATGCAGAATACTGTGATGGCTGTGGGGAGCACATCGGTGGGTGAACATGAGGGGACTGGACTGAGGGACAGATGGACCGTGGGGCCATGCCCTGCCCCACCAAGATTCCTCCTGTCTTTCAAGCCCCACCCCCCATTATACCCTATACTGTAAGTCTAGCCCCAGTACCATAGGCCTATATTTTGGGGCCAGCAGGTGGTGTGGCAGTTAAGATGGCTGAATCTTGGGGCCAGCAGGTGGCATAGTGGCTAAGGTGCTAGACTCCCATGTGGTGGACTGTGGTTCAAATCCCAGACCTGGTGGCTTAAAACTAACACTGGGCACGTGTGTGTGCATGCCCAAAATCTCAAGAGGAAATGGGATTATGGCATGGCCATCTCCCCTGGGGAGCAATTTCTCACTTTCTGTCTCTCCAGCAAACTCACACAACCTATAGCAAAAATCTCTTTAAAAAAATAAATGAAGATGGCTGGATCCCACATGGCCAACTGTACAGTTCCAGTCCCAGACCTGGTGCTTGAAAAATACACCGTGTGTGTGCATGCCTGCCCAAAATCACAAGAGAAGAATAGGGGAGAAGGGGCTGTGGCATGGCCATCCCCCATGAGGGGTGCTTTCTCACTTCACCTCTCTCCATGGCTATCTCTAGCAAGTATATACACCTTATAGCAAATTTTTTTTAAAAGTTATGTACTCTTCACTTGCAAGTCCCACTTCCAATATCTTCCACTATGCTATACCTACCTACCTACACAACACTAAACTACAGCTACACATCGAAAACTATCCCCAGAGTGCCCTCTAATTCTTGTCCCACAAGGCTCCTCCCCTTTTTTTTTTTTTTTGAGAGGTTTATGCTATAGGACGCGTGCACTTGCCAGAAAGGGAGAGATGGGACCAGCAGTTAGCATAATGGCTATGTTGCTGAACTCCCACGTAGTTGACTGTGGTTCTAGTCCCAGATCCCGTGTCTTAAACTCATGCCGGGCACGTGTGCGTGCTTGTCCAAGATTCCAAGAGGAGAATGAAGGAGATGGGATTGCGGCGTGGCCATCCCCCCTGAGGGGTGATTTCTCGCTTTCTGTCTCTCTGTCTCTGTCTTCCTGGTGAGCACACGCACCCTATAGCAAAAACCTCTCCAAAAAAAAAAAAGACAGAGAGAGAAATTCCCCCCTTGGGGGGGGATGACCATGTGGCAATCCCTTCTCCTCCATTCTCTCAGGATCTTGGGCACGCATGCCCACACGACTGCCGTTAAGCCACCGAGTCCAGGATTCAAACCGCAGTCGACTACATGGGAGTCCAGCAACATACCCATTACGCCAACTGCTGGTCCCAAAACCCCTCCCTTCTAAGCCCTGCTGGCACCTCTTCCTCTTCCTCAGGTCCAGCTTTCCACTTTCCTTCCACCTGAAGCCATCTCTTAATGTCTAAGCCTGACCCACATCTTGAAGTCCAATGCCTTCCCCCACTCTGGGAGGGGGCACCCTGGGGAAAAGGGGGGAGGGGAGACTAGCCAGCCAATGTTCAAGAGAGAAGAATGAGGAACCAAGGGGTGAGGGTCAAATCTCGAGTTTCCTGCTTTCTCCAGAATAGGGCCCCATTCAGGAGAGGTGGGAATGTGCCTGGGGTAGAGGTGGGGGATTCTGCCTCAGTTTTCACCTTGCATTGATCCCTGCAGGCCTGGACCAAGGGCAGATGGCTTACGAGGGCCAGCATTGGCATGCCTCCGACCGCTGCTTCTGCTGTAGTCGTTGCGGACGAGCCCTGCTGGGCCGCCCCTTCCTGCCCCGCAAAACGCCGGGCCCTGATCTTCTGCTCTCGAGCCTGCAGCCTTGGGTCCGAGCCCACTACCCCAGGGCCTGGCCGCCGCAGCTGGAGTGCTGGCACAGTCACCGCACCTCTCACAGCCTCTGCAGCCTCTTTCTCTGCTGTGGAGGGGGTGTCTGAGACAGCCACCAAAGGCACCTGCACCGAGTCAGCGCCTGGTGAGCTAATCCTTCAGCCTCACTCAGACTCGCCCCGCCCCCTGCCTCGACTCTGGCCCTTCGCCCTGACTTGCCCAGGCCCTACACCTGCTATGTCCAGGCCCCACCCACTCTCAGCCCAGCCTCCTTCCCCACACCATCCCAGGCCTAGACTCCAGCCCGTGCTACACTCCCGTTGTGAACCCTGGCTTTGCCCCCCCTTCTGTATAAGACCGACCCCCAACCTCAACTTGTGAGCCCAAATTCCTGCAACTTTCCTCCTACCCGCCACCCTCTGCACCTAGGCCCTGCACACCCCATACCCCAATCCTGTTTTGATCTTTAGGTGTTCTTACTTCCAACCCTCTCTGCACCCAGAGCCCAGCCTGCCCTAGGCTGCTTACTCTCCAGACTCTTCATCTCCTTGCCAGTCCCCGACCTCTGTCGCCACTTTCCCAGTCCTGGTGGTGGAAAGAAGGCCCTTCCGCAGGCCTCCCCCATGGGGATGGGAAGGGCAATACAGGAAATAGTTTCATCTTTCTAGCTGCAGGCCCAGAGGAACCCTCCCGCTTTCTAAGAGGAGGCCCCCACCGCCACTCCATGCCTGAGTTGGGGCTCCGCAGTGCACCTGACCCACCTCCAGAGTCCCCCAGCCAGGCAGACCTGCACCCAGAGGACAGTGCCTTTGGTCGCCAAAGCACCCCACGTGTCAGCTTCCGTGATCCTCTGGTGTCTGAGGGAGGTCCCCGGCGGACCCTGAGTGCTCCCCCGGCCCAGCGCCGGAGGCCTCGCAGTCCCCCACCCAGGCCTTCAAGCCGCCACCATCGCCGCCATCATCACCATCACCACCGCCACCCTGGCAGACGTCGCCATTATCATTGTGACTTGGGATCAGGGTCAGACTCAGGATCTTGCTCCAGCTCACCCTCCAGCCCCAGTTCGGAGTCCTCAGAGGATGATGGATTCTTCCTGGGGGAACGCATCCCACTGCCCCCACACCTGTGCAGACCCATGGCAGCTAAGGGCGCCACAGCTGAAACCTTCAACTCCCAGCCCCCACCTCTCCCTGGAGACTCTCGCCCAGGGATGCCTCGCCAGGCCAGAGACAAGAACTGCATCGTGGCTTGAAGGCAGGCAGTCCATTCTCCAGTCAGTACAGAGGAGGACCACTCCTCCAAACTCCGTCATAAATCCTTTCCTTCTTCCCTCCACTGTTTGTAACTATTGTCATTTAATACTTGTAGAACAGCCCTGGCTTCTTTGCCTCCTTGCTCCAGCTCCCACCTTTGGGGGCCCTCCCTGGAGGTCCCCCTCTTGATGCTTGAGATTTATCTACATTTGATCAAAGGATTCCTTTATTCATTATCATATACTTTAACAATCTGTTTATTATTTATTTATCCCTCCACAGAACCACCACCCACACCAAGGAGGTTATTTATTTGGAGTGGGTCACAACCTGAGGCCTGGAGTCTAAAATCTGAGGCACCCTCCTCCCTCATTTTGTGGCTAAGGTGGGGACATGATCCAGGCAGAACTGGTGTTTCCTTTGGGATACTGCAGAAGGAAAGGGAACCTAGGCACACCATGTGTGTGGCCACTCCCAGGAGGGTTGATTGGCAGGGTGGAAGACAAAATTCTCCAATAAAGGCACTTTTACTTCAACAAGAGGCTGGGAGTTGGTTGGCTGAGAGTGTTGTGGGGCTGGGGAGGAGTCATTTGTAGATCACTGAGATTTGAGAGGAATTCCTCTACACCGGACCATCTGCGGGGTCTGCACATGAAGAAGAGAAAGCATTGGCTAGACCTGTGTGCCCATTGTACAGACAAAACTACTGAAGCTTATGGTACTTCTTGGTATAAAATCCATTAGGTTTTAAGGGACAGTGTTGGCATTCATGCTCTTGGGAGACCCCCCCCCTTTTTTTTTTCCAGTGAGAAAGCACCCTCCATGGGGGATAGTCATATGGCAATCCATTCTCCATCTGTCCCTCCTTTGGGGACTTTGGGCACACATGTTAATTCACCCAGGGTGTTTCTCAAGCTCCTGGGTCTAGGACTCAAACCAAGCGAGCAGCTGGCATTATGGGATCCAGCTACCTTAAACACCATCCCTCCACTGGCTCCTCCCTTTCCTTTACTCTTCTGCCCTCTGAGCAATACACAAACATGCATGTGCATGCATACGCACGTACACACACACACAAACTTACCAGTAGGGGCTGCTGTATGTCTTTGCTGCCGAAAGGGGAAGGTGATGTAGGCATCATAGCCAAAGAGGCATGTAGCTATTAGGCCCAGTACCTGGGGGACAGAATGGGAGCGAGGGGTGTTGGATTAGGTGGCTGGCCTACTCAGCCTCTTACCTCCTTGTATCCACCACCTCCAGCTACTGTCCCATGCAAACTGGTCACTCAAGCCCCAGGTAGGGAAGCCAGAGAGCCCCAGGGAAAAGCTAGGAAACTTGATTCCACTCCACCCTCCCTCCTTCTAGTATCTCCCAAGACAGGACTGCCACACCCTGGCCCCACAGGTAGGAGTAAGGGACATAATTCATACTACATCTAAGATGAAGTTCTAGAAGATGGTAGTCTAGTGTGTCGACAAAGGGTCCACCTGTTTGTACTTCCCACAAAGGTCACTGTGCCAGACAAGGGACAGCCTTCTTTTACAGCAAATGAAGATCTTAGCAGGCAAACCCAGGGCTTGGGACAGACCTTCCTGCAGGCCCTGAGGGCATGAGTGGCCTACTGTGGGTCACACACTTTCTGCCAGAAGCAGAGACTCCTGGGTCCTCAAACCCTTCTCTCTGTATTCTGGAGCTTCCTCCATGGACTTTACCCCTGCAGTGATTTTGGAGTGGTTTCCTCTTTGAACAAGGACGACAATGGAGGTGATCAGGTAGAGGATTGCCGCTATGAGAGTTCGAAAGAAATCCTGTTAAATGTTTGAAAGAGAATTGGAAAGTCAGCATCTGTAGTTCACGACAAGGCCAACCACCCGAGCCCCTCCCCAGCCTCGCCATTATTGGCCCCTGCTCACACTCCAGGGCCAGTTGATGAAGGGGATCTTGGTGTGCACATCACACATGTAGACGACAAAGAAGACAGTAGCAAGGATCATCTCAATCACTGACAGGGAAGAGTACCCTGAAGCCAAGGTGCTGAAGCAGATCAGAATCACCAAGCACAGTATCTGGAAGGATGACATAGGAAGGGGGGCCCAGATCAGCTCTCAGGGTTAAGGAAATTGGTTTAAATTGGAGGCCTCAAATTCAGCCACCTACCAGGACTGGGAGAAGCACATACAGCAAACATTTGTGTTTGCTCACTGTGTTCCGAACATTGTTCTAAAAGCTTTACAGGTATTGGGACCAGCAAAAGGCATAATGGTTACGTCACTGGACTCCCACATAGTCGACCATGGTTCGAGTCCCAGGCACATGCGTGTGCATGCCCAAGATCTCGAGAGAGGAGAAGGGAGAAGGGATTACCCCATGGCCAGCTCCCCTGCGGGGAGAGTGATTTCTCGCTTCCTGTCTCTCTTTAAAAAAAGTTTTACAGGTATTAATTCACTTACTCATCACAACCTAATCTAATGAACTGGGTACTATATATTATTAGTATCTATTTTATAGGTGAGAAAATTGAGGCACAGAGAGGTTAAGTGGTTTGCCCAGGGTCACCCAGAAAGTAAGAAGTAGGGTTAAGTGACTCAGTGTGCCCCTTCTTCCCTTCTAGGATATAAGTGGCCTGAGGGGAGTGGCTCTGCCAGGTGTTTGGTGAGCATTGCAGGCGTCTGCTTCATGGCCTTGAGGGGCGGGACAAGCGGTTCTCCTGACAACCCCTTTGGGAAGCAGTGAGTGACACCAGAAAGGCAGGGCTCTATTAAAGGCACTGCACTCCTTTTATAAATGACCCAAAGGCGGGGGCCACTTTGAAGGGGGCGGGAAACAGAGGCTGCTAAACTGCCCTAGGAACTACGGACCTCTCGCCCAGTCAGAAGAGCGAGGAAGAACTGGCAAAGGGAGGAGCGCCCTGTCCCGCGGGATTAGAGCGGGCCCCACCCCAACAGGCCCTGCCCCTGGGCGCGCTGCCAGCCCGCCTGCCAGTGCCCAGGCCGCGCCACGCCCTGCCGGGGGAAGCCCCCATCTCCCAGCGCTCCCCCCACCCCGGCCCCTTCGATGTACCCACTGATGAGTCTACGTGGGATCCCCTTACGAAGTACCCCATAAGCGTTATAGGCTTTCGCCTCACCCGGTAGGCCACCCGCTCTCGACCACCTTCTCCAAACTGTACAGACTCACCCTGCGCCCCTAGTTTCCGTTGTCCACCACGAATCAACCCACCTGCGCCCCACTGCTGAGCACCCAGACCACATGCGTGCCTCACCATGACCGTCCAGGTCCGCGTAGTCCAGCCACCCCACTCCGCCATTGCCCACCCGCCAGCCCCAGGACGCTCACAATCTCAGTCAACAGGAGAATTCCCTTTTGGGTGCGCGAGAAGCTGGTGCAGGCGATCCAGCAGCCGGGGGCGGAGAGGCGCTCCGAATCCGCCATGGTGTGGGCCGGAATCCCTAGGGGCAGGTAAGATCTGCTTGCTTGCTCGCGGGTTCGAGGGACGCTGCACACCTAGCCGTCTTGCCAGCCGTCTGGCCGGGAAGGGGGCCCCGGGGCGAAGGAGCGAGTGAATCACCTCGCCGCGCCGAAGCAGGCGGGGCCGGAGGGGGCCGGGCCAGGTGGCTGCCGCCCCGGAAGC